CACACACATACACACTCCTGCCCTTCAGCGTGTACCTCTAGGGCTTAAAGCAGGAGGAGAGGTTTGAGAGGAGAATACACTACATTCCCCACCAGCTGTGAGACAGAAAGACGGCAGGAGAGGGCGAGGAGTACGAGGTGGAAATGGAGGGGGTTAGAGGAAACAGTGGCAGACAGAAACAGAGAGGGAGAACAGGAACAGAATGCACAAGAGACGGACACTAAACAGAGAGGAAAGAAAGCAAGAGAGCCAGCGAGGCGGGGGGCTCGGGCTGCACTGACAGAGGCCTCTGCATGGGGTGGAGAGAGAGAACAGAGCTGACGAGGGGGGGGCAAATGTATGTGGCAGGGGGGGAGAGAGAGAGAGTTTGAGAAAGAGTGATAGAGAGAGAGGGAGGCAGAGATTATGTAACTCCTGACAAAGCAGATAAGTATGATTTACATGTGATGGAGCAGCAGAGCCATCGGCGCAGCGGTGTGTTTACTGCAGTTCACAGAAATGAAAATACAAATATGTATTGAGGTTGCGATGTTAAACATTACAGCACGGGGCTGGTAAGAGTGTTTATTTTTACAGACCAAAAACTAAATTCTAATTACCAACAATGACGGTCTGTGTATCTACAGTCTGATAAAGCTTATTCCTCTGTGTTAAAGAGCTCTGTTGTTGTCCATCAATGACTCCATCAAAGGCTGGTGCCTGTGATTTGATACTTGAACAAATAATTGTTCATTTACAATTAGTTAACTCCAATTATTTGTTCTAAAATCTGTGTTTTCTGTATCTGTAAATTATATTATCTAATTGTTTCTTTGGGAAAAAGTGTCTAACCATTTATGTTAACCTGGCTTTGCATGTTTACAGCCATAATGATGATGAGTTCAATGACATGACGAAGAAACATGAATAAATAACATATCAATTTGCTACTGTGTTTTATAAATCATATTTTTGTTCTTGTTTCCCATCTTATTAGTACCCAATTGCACAACATCCCTTTTTGTCATCAAACAATCCACCAGATTGAATCCAGGGTCTAACATCAAAAACACACACACACACACACACACACACACACACACACACACACACACACACACACACACAACACACACACACACATTTAAACACACTTAGCGCCTCACTTTAGGGAATAAGAAGCAAGCATGGGGCAGGAAAATAGAAAAAGAGACAGATGAACCCGTGATCTATAAATGTTTAACGAGTGCAGACAGAGGAGATGAGGGCTGCGAGGAGACGGAGGAGGGAGACAGAAAGAAAAATGGTGAGGTGAAAAAGGAAGACAGTATCGTAAAGGATGGGTGAGGAGCAAAATGGGAGGTTTGTATCGGGAGAGAGGTGAAGAACAGCCACCATTATAGAAGCAGACACCAGAGCAAGTTTAGAAAATAGCGGGGAGGAAGGGAGGCAGCCAGGGATTGAGGGAAAAAAGGCTATAATTGGAGGTGTCTGGTGTTTGTCTAACACAGAGAGGCCGGTAATGATTCCATTAGCGCCTCACACTGAGAGAGAGAGAGAGAGAGAGAGAGGGAGACAGGAGAGAGACAGGGTCAGAGAGAGAGACAGAGAAAGAAGAGGAGAAAGAGCGAGCTATAGAGGCCAAAACACAGCTAGAACATTCACTTTTATAACAAGAAAAAACAATGAGCATCAGAGCAGCTAAATGGCTGAAAAAGACGAAAACAACAGCAAGAAAAAGGGAATTCAAGGCATCCATTAAAAGGCTTGTTCACCTGCTCAATAATGGTAGTTACGAATGCTCCTCCAGTCCTCTCCACAGCTCTCACCCTTTCCTCTCTTTGTGTGACGGCAGACGAGAGAGGGTGATTTAAATGCATTAGCCGAGTGTGTTTTCCCTATGGAAGACCTACACACTGTGTCAGGGCAGGAACCTTTTGTTTGGAGCTGACGCTGAGCGCTGAGAGGACTCTTTAAAAGCCTGGCCCTCGTTCTCTCAGGGATACATTAAAGCGCAACGCACTGGGATGTTGCTCTTCTCTGTGTCCTCCCATGTCTTTGTTAAAAGCAGGCTGATTACAGAAGCAGCTACATTAGGTGGCTAAGTGAAATTGTGACGAGGGAAGGGAACAACATCAGAATAGCAGCACGTGAGGGCGAAAAAGCGCCAGCACGGACATCATTTTAATAAAAATAAGCCTGTTTCCAGGGAGTTCATTTAGCATTATCTCACAGGCTGCATACATTACATTACATGTCATTTGTTAGACGCTTTTATCCAAAGCGACTTACGTACATTCAGTACTGTGGACAATCCCCACAGGAGGAATTTGGGGTGAAGTGTCTTGCCCAGGGACACAACGACATGCTGACTGCAGTGGGACTCGAACTTGCTACCCTCTGATTCGAGGTCCATCATACTATCCACTGAGCCACAGCCTCCCCGCTCATACAAATATGAGACATGTTAGAAAGTAGGGATGTAACGATAACAAAAACTCACGGTACGATAATATCGTGATAACAAGTCCATGGTACGATATTTATTGCGATATTGAAAATGAAAGTTGAATTTTTAACACTTTCTCTTGCCTTTTTTCTAGAAAAAATAAATCTGATTTGTTCAGCATTTTAGTAGGATAGTAGTATTTTAAAGTGTCAAAAATATAATAATCAGACCCTGCAATAAAATAAATCAAGTTTCACTTTAGTTTTTCAAGTAACTCAACTCAAACTCACTAACTCACTCACTCAGCATCATCAGGTTATTATTTAGGAATATGAGCATGTCCACTTTCCAGGTAGAGGCTGGGATGTTTGGTTGTTTCCCTGCAGTGGAAACAACTCTCTTGCTTGGTACTGATGTTGCTGGGACAGAGATATGCTTTGGCCATGGGTGACAGCAGTGGGTCAAACTGTGTATTGTCTCTCCACCACTTCAAAAACAATACAGTTTTTGCCAAGAAGGTGAGGCTTATATTGACAGGGCGAGATATAAATATACTGTTGGTACTTGTCAATGTCTCTAGGCATGTACATGTAGCCCTGTAAATACGATGTCCTTTTGTGTTATCTGTTGTTTTATGTTCATGTTGTACTTGCTGCCATGTTGGACAGGTCTCCCTTGAAAAAGAGATTGATGATCTCAATGGGACCACCTGGTTAAATAAAGGTTTAAAATTGCGGTAGATTTTGTCAGTCTCACGACGGTATCGAGACATTTATTTATCGCGATATTTGATATATCGTTACATCTCTATTAGAAAGACATACATGGGACAGCAAATTATCTCGCTGTATGAGGAGGTAATTTCATTGCTATGCAAATCCCTTACTAGACCCCACAAAAATGTATTTTTTCTAATACTGAGTAAGTGTTATTGACAACCCTGTGGCGGAGGGATTTCAATTCACCACGAAGAAATGTAAGTCTATTGGAAAATTTGCTATTTGATTGTTTCCAGAATAATTGCTACAACACAGCATATGCGTTGAAATGGAAAACCTGGCTTTCCATCCTGTGTTGCAGACACCTGTATTGCCGTGCCACACACACACACACACACACACACACACACACACACACACACACACACACACACACACACACACACACGCATCCACATCAGTTATGGCTATAAGTTGCGAGGGACACATATATTTCCTGACCCCTGACCTCTGACTGACAAAAGGACTCATTACATCAACACACATACACGTGCTGTTATTGAGTTGAAGGCAGCTTGTTAATCGTGCTTACCTTGCTCTATGTATTCTCTCCGGGGTGATAAGACTTAGGGAGCAGACTGATGAGGTCATAGAGATCACTGAGGTCAACCGCTTTGCTGTGTCCGACTGATTTTAAATAACGTTTCAATACAGGGAATGCAACATAGATCTACACTGTACAGCATGCAGGTAGTGAAATAAATTGAAAACCTGAGATCACCTGTCACATAACCAAAGCTTTGAATGTTTACAAGACAGCGATGCAGCTCAACAGTCTGCGTTTGGTGATTGAGATGCAGCCAGTTCTGCCACAATCTGTGCACATTACCAGACAGAGAGCTGGAGAGTACAGCTTCTGTTCTCTTCACTTGTCTCTAAGGCCCAACTGCCAAGTTTTCTGGGCGTCTTGGCTGCTGCTTCTCCAAAACAAGTGAATTTGTATTATGCAAATGAGTATGCAGCGATAAATATCTATGATTCTATTTACTTTTCGGGGAGGAAGCGAGCCCGTGGGGAAAGGTGACAGTGTGAGTCTAATACAGTGTGCACACCCAAATGCATGTATGTGCACACGCAAGCGCAATATTTGAAGTTTTACGATTCAATAATGTCTTCTTCCTAAGGCATACCTTTTCCTCTCCTACAACACACATCAATAAGCCCTTTTTTCACACACACTCGTACCCCTCTACCATACTCAGCAGGGAAGATGAGATATTCATTTCTTACAAACAAGCACGCGAAAACAATGGAAAGATAGGAGATGCCTCAAAGCAACTTCTACTCTTTTACTCTGCTAGAACTGTCCCTGTCACTCGGAGCGAGGACACCCACACTGACACACACACATCAGCAACCTAAATACACAGTCATTGTCACTTCATCCTCAATTTCACAGCAGAATTCATACATTCACACACTGTTCGGCAAAATAAAGATCAGTCACATAAAATATTCTCGTCGTGTATGGCAGAATGGAAATGATTGCTGTGCTTCATTCGCAAGAGCACTTTTGTAAGCTGTTGAAGAATCTCACTCGGTGTCACACTTGACACTCAGTTTTCAAATTAATTCAGAAGGCCAACCTTTACGAGGCTTTTGCTCACAAAGATAAAGACTATAGAACAGGCGCTCAGGTGTAAAATGTGCAATAATGAAGTCACTTTTCAATATAGCAAACACATTACTGCATCATGCATATTCCAACTCTCTTAATATGTCCTTTTTCTCTCACACAAACAGACACATTTCCACACAAATAAATCCCACAATGCCCCCAGACCCCCACTCACGTTGGCAGACGTCTTTGTTCTCCTCGAAGCCCGGTTTGCACACACACCTCCCGATGGGAACCAGCCAGCCTCCGTCTGCGCTGCAGTACATCTTAGGAGCCTCGAACTCCTCAGAGGCGTTCACACACAGACCGTGGACCTCCACCAGTGCCGTGTCTCCGCCAGTGATCGTGTCGGGGAACTGGGCCAAGTTAAGAACAGTGAGAGGACACTTCTTGTAGAAGACCCTGACTGAGACCAGAGCGATACATGCGCCCAGGTCCTGGAAGGCCAGGTAAAAGCCCTTTTTACTCAGGTTGCTGATATCCCGCACTTCCGTGTTTAGCTTCATCACGCGGTCGCCAACGTCCACCTGCAGAAGGAGGACATTTTACATGCGTTAATTTTGATAGCATCATTTAAATGTATTAGAGGATATTTTTTGGTCTAAAAACTTCTATATCTATTTGGGTCGATGTTGATGCCTGAAACTCAGTGACGGCATCAAGGAAATAATCACTATCCTCAAAACCACTGGCAAGTGGGATGAGATAACTACGTTTTAATATTAGCTACATTTAATTCTACAATGCTCTTTCTCAGAGTTGGTTGCAAATGGTGAATATGTAATTATGAACATGTATTAGAGGATTTGATGGCCATATACAAACAGACTAGGCAAGGCAAGGCAAGTTTATTTATATAGCACTTTTCAACACAAGGCAATTCAAAGTGCTTTACAAAAAATGAAAGACATTAAGAAAATGGCATTTAAAATCAGTCATTAAAAAGAAAAGCTGATAAAATAAACATTAAAAGAAAAAATACATGGATAAAAGTTACAGTGCAGTCTAAGATATGAATAGTTCAATTAAAAGCAGCGGCAAAAAGATAAGTCTTCAGCCTGGATTTAAAAGTAGTCAGAGTTGCAGCGGACCTGCAGGTTTCTGGGAGTTTGTTCCAGATATTTGGAGCATAATAACTGAACGCTGCTTCTCCATGTTTAGTTCTGACTCTGGGGACAGAAAGCTGACCAGTCCCTGAAGACCTGAGAGATCTGGATGGTTCATAATTTAGCAGGAGGTCAGAAATGTATTTTGGGCCTAAACCATTCAGTGCTTTATAAACCAGCAGCAGTATTTTTAAATCTATTCTTTGAACACAGGAAGCCAGTGTAAAGACTTCAGAACAGGAGTGATGTGATCCACTTTCTTAGTGTTAGTGAGGACTCGAGCAGCGGCGTTCTGAATCAGCTGCAGCTTTCTAATAGATTTTTTAGTGAGACCTGTGAAGACACCATTGCAGTAGTCCAGTCTACTGAAGATAAAAGCATGGACAAGTTGTTCCAAATCCTGCTGTGACATTAGTCTTTTAATCCTAGATATATTCTTTAGGTGATAGTAGGCTGATTTAGTAACTGTTTTAATGTGACTGTTGAAACTCAGGTCAGAGTCCATGACTACACCTAGATTTCTGGCTTTATCTGTTGTTTTGAACATTGCAGACTGAAGCTCAGCGCTAACTTTTAAACGTTCTGCCTTGGCTCCAAAAACCATTACCTCAGTTTTATCTTTGTTTAATTGGAGAAAGTTCTGACACATCCAGTCATTGATTTGTTCAATGCACTTACTCAGTGTTTGAATTGGAGCATAGTCTCCTGGTGAAATTGTTACGTAAATGTGTGTCATCTGCATAGCTATGGTAACTTATTTGGTTGTTCTTCATTATCTGAGCCAGTGGTAGCATGTAGACGTTAAAGAGAAGAGGCCCCAAGATGGAGCCTTGAGGTACCCCACATGTCATATTTGTCAACTCAGATGTGTATTTACCTTAAGAAACAAAGTTGTTTCTGTCCTTTAAGTAGGATTCAAACCAATTTAGAACTGTTTCCAAAAGTCCCACCCAGTTTTCCAGTCGGTCTAGTAATGGGGATGGGTATCGTTAAGGTTTTAACGGTACTACTACTTTTATCGATACCGCATATTGATCCGGTCCTTTAACGGTACTCTTATCGGTTCTTTTAAAAAGAAAAAGGTAAATTAATTAAACAAATTGTAAATAATGTGAACTTATAGAACTGTAAAAAACAAACAAAACACAAGTATTTACTGCATATATACAGTGGTACAGGGCAACACAGGTGGGGCATACAGGTATGCTGCAAAAGGCCGAACGGTTCTTCTGGAGGAAGATTAAGGTATACATAATATACCTGACGTGGAAATGTTACTCGTGGATGGGGCTACAGAGCTACTAGAAAGACAGTCGAAAATGGTGCATTTCTCCGTCTGAATGTGGAGCACTTTTGCAAGATGTTTAGATAAATTTCTCATGTTACCGCCCTTAAATGCTAAACTCTTATTGCACTTTTGGTAACGAGCATTATCCACATGGAGACGGGTAACATTTAACCACACCTTGGAGCGCTTAGTTCTCTCTGCCATCTCCGCCGTGTGTGTGTGTTGCATGCATGTAGCAGCCGCGTGTGTGTAAACTGCCCCGCCCCCTCACACACAGACAGGGGAGAGAGATCTCTCGTCTGGATTGGAAAGATCAAAAATACGTCATAGATGCATTTTGTAGTCTTATTGCATATTATAAACGGAGTTGGCAAAACTAAAACTGCAATATAATGTTTATGTAGCAATAATACATATGACATATTTTTTACATGTCTCCAGTACCGATAAAAAGACCGATAATGTTGGAGCTTAACGGTACCACGGTCTTTAATAATTCAGCCCCGGGGCCCCTTTAATACCGGGGCTCGGTACCCATCCCTAAAACAGACTGACCTTAATGTTCAAATCAGTCTAAAAAACACAGTACAAGAGATGGCCAGGAAACAGTGGCACTGGGAAAGACTAATACATTTTTGTCACTCTGTTTCGCTTTTGAAGAAGTTCTACAAGAAAACATCAGCATATTTTAGTGGTAGCTACAAGGTCATTTGCTGGTCTCTATTTGTGTGTGTGTGTGTGTGTGTGTGTGTGTGTGTGTGTGTGTGTGTGTGTGTGTGTGTGTGTGTGTGTGTGTGTGTGTGTGTGTGTGCGTGCGTGCGTGCGTGCGTGCGTGCGTGCGTGCGTGTGTGGTGTGTGTGTGTGTGTGTGTGTGTGTGTGTGTGTGTGTGCATCCATACCTGTGTAAAACTCTCATCTGCAGCAATAGTATCGATCTTGACATACTGGCTTTCCTTGATGAACCACAGGTTGGCATTGTTGGACTCATAGTAGTACATGTTGAATGTCTGCAAAACAAACCACAATCCCCTTTCAAACTCTAGAAATCCAACTCATCAGACTAAACAGAAAAACACCCAGTAAAACAGGACGGATAAAAGTGAAAAGTCCATCCATTGTGACATTTTAACAAGACTCGCATAGCTCTCCAGCTATTCTTCTGCTTCTCTTCAAGTCTCAGACCATCTGCCTCACAGACCAGTCAGCAACACTGTCTGCAGTTTCATCAAAGTGCAGCTCTGCACTGTCTCATATTATCTCCACTACTCATTCTGGAGATATAATGAGAGTGAAAAGGGTGCAGAGGGCAGACAAAGTAAAGAGAAATGAATACAGAGGAGCAGCGATATCAGGCTGATATGACTGAACGGGGGACAGTAAAAAAAGATATATTACAAGTCAAAATATATACGAGGAGCCACAAATGAAGCCTCTGGAGCGTCGTCAGTTTTATTCAGCAGCTTTCTCTCACAATTCTTTCCCGCATGTCGCCTATTTATGTATTTATTCATTTGCCATTAAAGTGAATATCATCTATGTGTTTGTGAGAATAGAATGGAAAAGATTGAAAAATAAAATCATGAAAATACTTAAGATGCACTCTTTGCTGCTCTGCACAGTACAATGTGCAGAACACATATTGATTTCATAATAAGGAATTACATGACACAAAAAACTACCACATATACGACTTACACATGTATATGTGATGATTTACTATAAAACAATGCCTAATACTGAAATCATTCAATAACTGGCTTCATGCAGTTCACAACAAAAATGTCATTTCTAGTGCGTTTCTGCTTCTCATAAATGTTTGCTGTGTCGAGTTTCTAGATAATTTCCTCGGTTGAATGGATGCAGAAAAAGCCATACTGCATAATGTTATTGGACAAAATATGAAGATCAGACAGGTTTAATTGAAAACGCAGAGAAGTGTTATTGAAGTTAATTTGCTGATTTAGTTGATTAGCTAAGCACGCTCAACAAAGTGCCTGCTGCGTGGGCTGTAGGGTTCAATTTGTAATTAAACAATATTCATCACAAATACAATATGTATCTACTGAGTTAGTTAGATGAGAAGGTTCTACGGTTAGGAGCACTTCATAGTCAGAGAAGATATTTGTAGCTTATTTGTAGAGACAAACCCCAGATTTTAAACATATCCAATACCTCCAAATCAAATGTCTTATTTTTCACTTGCTTCCATGAAAATAATTTCAAAATTGCACACACTTACACATCAGTGGTGTGTGTGTGTGTGTGTGTGTGTGTGTGTGTGTGTGTGTGTGTGTGTGTGTGTGTGTGTGTGAGTGTGTGTGTGTGGTGTGTGTGTGTGTGTGTGTGTGTGTGTGTGTGTGTGTGTGTGTGTGTGTGTGTGTGTGTGTGTGTGTGTGTGTGTGTGAGGGATCCTCACCTCCTTGCAGGTACCAGGGACCCCGGGCAGGCTGTTACAGTCCCTCAGGGTGAACTTGATCTCGATGTGGACGCGCTGCGCTCCCTCGCGGCTGATGTGGCGTGTCCTCAGCCAGTTGTTCTGGTTGGCCTCCATGACGTTGCACACCTGGTACGTCCTCATCGGCGTGTTCCTCTCATCCATCACACTGATCTCCTCCCACTGAGGATAGATAAAAGCAGGTTTAGGGAGAAGAAAAATGGGTCTAGAAGAAGGAAGATATGCCTCTCTACATTTCATATTTGTCAGAAGGCACTTTTTTAGATGGAGTTCAAAGGAAGAAATTGGATTAAAGGTTACCTATTATGCAAAATCAACGTTTTCATGTCTTTTATCCATCAACATGTGTCCCCCCTCTGTGTAAAGAGATTCTGAACGTTTCAGGAAAAAAGATTCGCTCACTTTTTGTCCTGATTCATTTATATAACAACCTGTCTGAAAATGAAATGATCAGATTTTGGCCACTTTATGATGTCATAATGTGTAACCATTAGCCAATCACCAACCAAGGTACCCCCCCCCCCCCCACCGTATCACCTGAATCTCCTCCTAGAGCACCATTGTGTTCTTGTTAACCAAATATCTCCCAGAGGGGCGTGGGGAGTGGCTCCTTATTTTCATCTAAAGTAACAGACACAGAATCAGCACTTTTGAAACAGGGCTGAAACAGAGGGGATTATGGGATTTGCTGCAATGATCTGTTTGTCTCCTTTGCCGAGATAATCCATCCCACCTGACCTCACAGGTGTGGCATATCAAGATGCTGATTAGACAGCATAATTATTGCACAGGTGTGCCTTAGGCTGGCCACAATAAAAGGCCACTCTGAAACGTGCATTTTTGCTTTATTGGGGGGGTCTGGGGGGGTCCGAGTCAGTATCTGGTGTGAGGGGTAGGGTTAGGGTTAGGGTAATGTTGTGAATCGAGTAGCCCATGGTGGTGGTGGGGTTATGGTATGGGCAGGCGTATGTTATGGACGACGAACACGGGCCACTCGATTCACAACATTACCCTAACCCTAACCCTAACCCTCACGCAAGATACTGACTGGTTTTCGGGTTAGGGTTAGGATCCTCCCTCTCCTCTGCCCACCAGTCCCAGGGATGATCTGACCTACTCATCCTCCTTGGCCCATGGACCCCAACACCAACAGACAGACACCCTCACAACACCCATCCACAGACCCCGAGGCCAGTGCAACCTAATCCCACACCGGAATACATAACCCTACCTCTAACCCAACCCTAACCCTAACCCTACCCCTCACACCAGATACTGACTGGTTTTCGGACCCCCCCAGACCCCCCCAATAAAGCAAAAATGCACGTTTCAGAGTGACCTTTTATTGTGGCCAGCCTAAGGCACACCTGTGCAATAATCATGCTGTCTAATCAGCATCTTGATATGCCACACCTGTGAGGTGGGATGGATTATCTCGGCAAAGGAGAAGTGCTCACTATCATAGATTTTTTCAGATTTGTGAACAATATTTGAGAGAAATGGTTATTTTGTGTATATAGAAAATGTTTTAGATCTTTGAGTTCATCTCATGAAAAATGGGAGCAAAAACAAAAGTGTTGCGTTTATATTTTTGTTCAGTGTAGAATATATTGATGAAAAACAGTATAATAGGGGACCTTTAAGGGAAAAAGAAAGAAGAGGGAAGAGAGGTGAAGGAAAGAGTGGTAGAGGGAGAGAGGAAAAGAAGAGGTGAATGTTTGTGAAGTGTTGGCATTAATGGGACAATCCCTTCAACTATAACATTTCAAATCAAGAGTCAGCTCGACAACAGCACCACTCGCCTGTGAGATGGTCTTATTTCATCGCCCGTCAATGGACAAAGGGGATCCCAGTCCAGCAGTATGCTTATGGGAAACTGGGCCCAAGTTCAATGAAGTGTGGTTTCAGTGCAAACTGACGCTAAGCCTGCTTATTCTATTTTTATGTCTGAGTGAATATGAGTGATGATGTGTGTCAAGATGACTGAAGGACAGTCTTTGTCCATGCCGCACGTGTGCATAGAGAGAGCGTGTTTTTCTAAAGTGAATGCGTGATTTAGCGCTTAAGAGGTAGGAGTGTGTGTGTGTGAGAGACACATGGAGAGAAAGAGGCAGCGAGAAGGAGTAGGTAGGACAGAGCTACTTTGTCTCCCGTCATCTGCCACCATCTGTTTCCACTTCTGACTAAGGCAGTAATTGAGAACACTTCTCGCATGAGCAGGAAAACATTTCTATCGACGCACACATATATACCATTCCACACAAAGAAAAAAGAACATTTCTATTCCTTAAAGACAAATTTAAATAAACCAATGTGGTTTCAGTGTCTCAAGATATCTGATCCATTCAACTTGATTTTCCTAGACACACACCCCGGCAACCCCCACACACACACACACACACACACACACACACACACACACACACACTGGATGAGTCTGAGTTTGTGGTTAGGGATGAGAGGACCACCATCTTTGTTCTGAGCTCCTGTCATCATCTTTAGACTGAACCTCTAAGCTCCAGAGTGATGAGCACATATCGCCTTACAGTAGTCCAGGCATGTAAACAAAGACACTGATACATACGTACAGGCATGACACACTCACATGTGCACACACACTTGCCTAGACCAAGACCCACGGGGCTAACTACCTGTCATCCCTAACGTGTTCCTAAATCAAATGAAAGTCGAACGGTAGATGACCTGAGTGAAGAGAGAGTAATAAATAAAGAAAAGAGAGAAGACAGGCCAATAAAAAGCCGCAAAAAAAGGCTTAGAGAAACTTTAGAAAAGGAAGTCCCAGCTAAGGCTGGTTTCTTGAGGTTAATCTGATGTGACGGTCCAACAACCCGGCAAAAGCTTGACGCATTTCACCTCCGAGTCCTGAGCGCTAAAACAGATCCACATAAAAAACACACACATTCTCACATAGTCCCACACACTCAGATGCTTTTAATCCCCACTGCCTCTGCTGAAACGTCTACTGCGTATGAATTGGAGCTAGAACAAAAACCGGCTCTCTCTTGATCCCGACCCAACAGTCCTTCAACTGCAGAAACAGAGAGAAGGAAGAGTCGAGGGGAGAAGAGGCAGAAGATTGTTTAAGCTGCTGCAGTTAGCAGACACATATTTCCCTGACAGTTAGTTTAGAGTTTGGAGATTAGAAATATAAAGGAATGTATCGCTGGAGTCTTGCTCGACATTATGTGCTGAGAGCACTCGATTCAATTAAAAGAACAAAACAAGAAACGAGGGATGAAAATAAAGAAAGTGGGGGGAGAGAGGAATGAATGTTGGTAAATTACAGGCGCGCCTGGCAGCTAAATAGACCCATCTGTGCAGAGCTGAGACCAGTCGGACATCAGAGGACGGTCGCACACACCCCCGCACACACACACACACACACACACACACACACACACACACACACACACACACACACACACACACACACACACACAAACACACAAAGCTGAGTCCCCAGGGAGTGGTGATTAAAGCATTTATGGGAATAGTCATTGAGGGATAAAGAGAGCTTTATGATGTCTTTGTTTATTTCTTTGTAAGCAGAGTTTGGAGTGGCTGGATTACTGCCACTTCCTGGTGAGCGACTTATTTCCCTAGTTGGCGAGTCTGTTCATTGTCACATTTGCCTGGTGTAAAGCACAGGTGTGTTTATGAACATAAAAACAACCTGCCTGCCCCCATTTGTGTCAATGATACAGCAGCAGAGGGGGAAAAAAGACCCAAAACTGAACTGGGAAAATGTTTGGATAGGCTGAAGAGTTTAAGCTCCCTTTCTTTCTTACTATAAACACATATGAAGGGAAAACTGTTGCCTGTGTTGGTTCAGTCTGAACCCTTATATATACAGTCTATGGTCTGAACACAGAAATTAACATTCAGAATGAAACCCTCCCCCACGAAAGCTCACCTCGGCCAATCAGCACCGAGAACGCTTGATTGCTTTGAAGTGAAGCAAAGACGTCGGATCAGGGTTTAAGTTCAACCATACCCCAGCTTAACATTATATCCTTCGTTCTGCAGTCCTCTGATCGGTACACCTAGTTGGGTGTAATTGGCCCCCAAACTCTGGAACTAGCTCTGGTTGAGTGAGGAGGGGGGATGATGGAGGTAACAGAGATGGAAGATGAAGAAATAAGAAGGGGATGGGGGAAATGAGGGCTGGGGAGCGTCTGAGGGAGTAGAGATGCTGTGGGGCCCCTCCATTTTCAAACATCATTAAGACATATCTGTTTTGTGTCCCTCACAAGGAACACCCCTGCCTGGTGACAGAAGTGGGTCGCCCCACGCAGTCTCAGGCACATCCTGCCCTGCACGGCTTGGATTAAGCGTGACCTGAAGGGGTCAAGTGTGGTTTTGGACTAATTCAGGCAGACAGTGGTATCAGATTGGTGGGAATTGCTTCTCGTAAAGACCAATCTTCAGGTTTAAAGGTCAAAGGTCAACTAGATAATCCTTCTGTTATGAAACATAAGACCTTCTCACAGCCCTGGCACTTTTCTTCTCTCAGTCAGTCACTCTCCTATCACCTTCTCCATTCTCTTGTCCTTAACATCAGACCCCTTTCTAGCAATACATCATGACCATATATATGTGAGACATAAGAATAATAACATTTAGCAACATTGCTTTTGCCAACAGGATTAGAAGCCTATTCTAGACCTTAAGAGCCTCAACAACAAAAAATAATAATTTTTAAACTAGTTTGAATTCCTTTTCCTCTCTTTTGTTGGTTTATTTTTGCCGCTTCAGATGTACATACTTTGTCTAGCTTAACTCCTGTTTTCCTTACAGCTTTATGGCAAAGTCATAGCTAAATGACAAGGATGCTATTTTGGGAAGCAGAAGCATTGTGCGATTTAATTTTTAATTTGTCTTTTTCACTAACAATGACTAACCAGAAAAAAGGGGAGGATTATGTTTATCTAGATAACGTTGCATTCATGAGCCGCGAGGCAGAATAAGAAAACCATGAAAGCAAAGACGTTACCAGCTTTAACCAATTTACAAATGTCTTTGGCAGCTGATATTGCTTGATCCTGACCCCAAAGTAAAGAAACACTTGTTTTTACAATGCCTCAGTCCATGCAGTGTTATCTCTGATCTATTTGTCATATTTATTTGACAGCGGGGTTGTGTATATGCCCATAGAGCCTGTTTCCTCTCAGTTTCCGTAAACATTCAGAGCGGAGATGCCAGATCCCCTACCATGTTGACAGCTCATGAAAAAAGATATACAAGACGGAGGTTATTATTTATATTTGATACTTTCCAGCCAACACATTTCTTTGAGGGCAAACTAACAACACATGTGCTTTTCAGGGGCCATGATTAAGCCACCCCAAACTGAACCATATTTTCAATAAAAGTAACTTGTTTACTCTTTTCACAGATGGAATGCATTCAGTCCTTCTATAAGAACCTCTGTGAAAAAAGAGTAACAGCCACAAACAACCACAATATGGCCACACAATGAGAGCATTTCAATAAAGTGAACTTGAAACCCTTGATAGCTTGAGAAAGCTCTGCTCACTTTAGCTGCCTCTGCTGCGCACAACCATGAAACTACGTGTGGCATCCTGCGATTTAACACACTGACGCTGAATAGTGCAGAGGAAGTGCGACTCAAGGGGAAATATAACGAATTCAGCGCCATACAACATCTCCTGCGCTAGAGTGACATACAGAACCCACTCTTTATTCAATAAACTTCCGTTGTTTTCTTCCTCTCCTCTGATTTCTCTCTTGTCATGTTCTGATGCATGGTGGCTGCACTCCAGACTCCCTTGGTCCCTATACCTGAAAAAGGCTAGTTACATAAGCCAACACAGACATGCAGATAACACCGACTTGTACACGACATCTCCTCTTACGTAAGAATATTTACCCCTCCACCCCGTCTCTTATCTCCATTCCAAAAAATCGCAACCCGTAACAAATGGAGGCTTCAGTGCCAGAGCGTTTTCATCGCAGCGGAAATAATTTGTAAATTCCCCCTGCAGACTCCCGATTTAGCAAGAGCGCTGAAGAACCCAATGCTCCCTAAAACACACACTCCAGTGCTGCTGCTGCTGCTGCTGCTGCTGCTAGCTTTGAGTCTTTGCTCCTTCACTGAAAATGAAACATGTCAACACAACCCGCTAGTTGTGATCTGATTTGTACTTTTGATGCCAGCTCTGACAAAAAGAGACGGTGACTTTTTGTGTGTGTGTGTGTGTGTGTGTGTGTGTGTGTGTGTGTGTGTGTGTGTGTGTGTGTGTGTGTGTGTGTGTGTGTGTGTGTGTGTGGTGTGTGTGTGTGTGTGTGTGTGTGTGTGTGTGTGTGTATGTGTGTGTGCATTTACTCACCCCTTCATTTGGGTAAGCCTCCCAGCCCAGGTCGGCCAAGGCTGACATAGAGTCCAGTAACGTAACTGCAAGAACAAGAACAAAAAAGAGCATAAACATACACATACTGCAGATGCATTTCATTGCTAAATCCCCACTTCCTTAAACAATGTTTTTTCCCGCATACAGTTTAAAGATGTCTTGAAAGCATCAGATAACATCAAAACCTTCCATATAAAAAATCCATGACTTTTATTCATGTGTTATACAAGGTCGCCTTTTGTTGGAGCAGTAGAATCACAAGGCAGTGGTAAACCTATCATTTCAATTTGAAGATTACTGTGGTTGTACTGCAGCTGTTATGGATCAAGGGGACACAAAGTCAGTCAGTGTGACAGCATCTAGACAGAGGCATATTTTAAAGTTGCATTTACATTTTGGATATTTTAATGATACGCCACAAAAAGGCTCTCGTTTGAATATGGAAGCAGTTGCGTTGTAGGCTTGCGAAATGGCGGTAAAACTGAGTGAGTGTGTAGGAGAGAAAAGGCTGCGGTCCAGCTGTTACAATAGATCGTGTGGAAGGTTGTTTTTTGCCATTCATTTACCTTGCTGTTCATGTGTTTTATCAGTAAAATACAAATTCAAACTTTTTTTTCAAAACATTGTATGTGTCTTAAAACTCATCACCCTTTGGAACACAGAAGCAGGCACACGTGGTGGTTTGCACAAATCCATGCCTCCAGTTGTAATAGTGGTCAGAAGTTCTTTATCAAGGTTGAATCTTTAGCTATATACAGCAGGAGGGATTTGATTGAATTTAAACATTAAACATGTCACTGTTTGACAGAAATTGAAGTATTGAAATCCAGTGTGAATGCCTGAATCCCAACCTATCACCATCCCTGTTATACATCACATTGCCTTTCATCACATGTAATGGTAGACATTGCTGAGATTCTGGCAACCCAAATACAATAGAGGTGAATTACTTCTGTTTTAGTTACAATGTTTGATATTGTGAGTATCTGCTGATTTGAAACCCATCACATACCCTCTTTCTTCCTCTTAAACAACAAAGCTGTTGATACCACATTTGTTTTGATGCACTTTGCTTGACCTATCCATCTGAAAAACATCTTACTCAAACAGTGAAACAAATATTCTACTCCCCGAAAGGAATACAGATAAAACCACAACCTATGACTCAGTTTGCAATACTTCTTTACTCTTGACTCCATGCAATCTTTTTCTCCATGACAGCTGACTTTTTCCTTTTTCCAAAAGAATGAAAACTCATTCCTGGGAAACCCCCGGGCCTTTCTGTGAAAGCTGCTCTTACAACGTTATCGAAGAAATAATCCATATAAAAAATGGTGGATTACCCAGACATTGTTTCTGGAGATGGTTATCTCAAAAGCTCCGCCCATGAAGCTGAAACTATCTCCACGACAGGATATCACTACAGATACGTGAAGAAATATATCAGGTGAACCAACCCTTTCAACAAGGATTTTGTAGAGTGTGCAATTCATCGTATTTTAATCGCAATTACGATTTTGGCCTGCCACAATTACGAAAACAACATAATCGAAAACAAATATTATTTTGCTTTGCTAGGTTGTGACAGTGCACTGCAACATATTTGATCTCATTTATTTTAGTCTCATTTAGCATATTTATATATGTTTAGTAGCTTGTTGAAGTGCGCTCCAAAATATTTGTTGATCTTGTTTATTGGTATTTATTATTTTGATATTATTTATTTAAATGTAAATATAAATGTATCATTTATTTTATTTATTTTTGTATTGGTTTTTCAGTTGCATTATACGTTCAGGGTAATAAACAGTTAAAAAGATACTGTTCAAATTATTATTTGTATTTGTTTTAAAGTTCAATAAATGGATGTTTTCAAAGTCAAGTATTTAATAATCGTGATATCAATTATTGACCAAAATAATCGTGATTATGATTTTTGCCATAATCGGACAGCCCTAGGATTTAGTGGTTTAACTTTCATAATGCAGTAAAAAGATGTTGTTGAGTATCAGTGCCATCAAGGACAAAGTTCCTCAGTAGTACATTTCCACAGTCTGTGTGTGTGATCTCTGTGACAGGAGGAAGTGGAGGGAGGAAGCAGGGAGGTGAGAGAAAAGTAAAGAGGGGAAGGTGGCAGGTTGAGCAGCGGGAGGCATAATGAAAACCTGCCCAGATTCTGGAGCTCAGTTCTCCACCTGTGTGTGTGTCACTTGTTAGTGTGTGTGTGCGGTTTTGAAGGCTTGGCTCAGTCAGGTTCTAATCAAGCCTTCATCACCGCTGACCATTAATATTTAATCAGCTTCCATCTGCAGAGACTGCTGCTTCACTCTTTCTTCCCTCTCATTGTGGCGCTTTCAGGTTAACCTCCCTCCATTGAAATCTTTGAACCTATGCTTTCAATCCACAGATCCGAGATCAGACGGGTGAATCGTTGACCTGATGCAAATCAAACCGACTGCATCACTTTAAAGCAGCGCACTTCTGTATTCCCTCCCATTCTTATAAGCAGTGACCTGGAAAAAAACTATTTCAAAGTAAAAAAGAAAACAGAGTATGCCCTGCTGAATGCAAATGAGCCTAATCACTCAATTGAAGAGGTTTGAAAGTGCCTGTTTACAAGCCCCTCTGTGTATCCATACTGCCTGTAGGTGTAACAAAGGGACTGTACAATTGGTCCAACCTCCTCTTTTCCTATCTTTCCCCCTCTTTCTCTTCCTCTCGCACCCATGCTGTTCATCAGCCCTCACTGAATCCCAGTCGTTCCCTTCAGCTCAGCACACCATGACAGCAGGGAGGCATGTCATGCTGTATTAGTGTGTGTGTGTGTGTGTGTGTGTGTGTGTGTGTGTGTGTGACACAACAGTGTCTGCGTGAGAAAACGGATACAGAAAAAATAGTGCATGCAGTATAATGAAACAGAGAGGCTGCACAGTGTAGCGCAGGTGAGAGAGGGAGGGAGAGAGATGGAATGAGAGGGAGATACTAGGGGAGGTGCTGAGCAGATAAAGGTCAGAGGCAGCCTCCAGCCCATGTGTGTATTCAGACTGAGACTAAAAATCGTTTGGACTGCTTTGCTCAGTTTATGAGCATTTGAGTGGCGTACTGCAATTAGACATAATAGGATAATAATATATGGTTTCAGGATCCAAAAGAGAGGCTCACACACATTCTCACAGACACACTCAGAGATGAAAGCTACTATCTATCAACAGGGATTGTGGAATTTACACACATACTCTCAGCCGTACCAATTATTCTCCATGAGTCACTTACTGCAATACATTTAGCTGTGTTTCCCAGAAAGAATAACTGAGTGGAACATCGTTAAAAGGTTGGTTAACTCAAGAAAAACATATTTTCTCCCTTTGCTGATGGTATTTTGTGTGCTTAAAACAATAACAAATTCAATTTAAATGCAGTTTTAGTGTGTCAGAAACTATTTTCTGGTTGTATGGGAACTTGGAACTAGTTGTTCTCAATTAGAATAAAATAATCTGTGGAATATCCCGTTGAGTAAAGATGTGCATTTTGTACTTTGTTGTGTTTGCTCTAAAACAGTTTTACTGTTCAGACGTTGGCTGTTCGCTATCTACCTACGTATGAACCAATTTTCAGATAGAACTCAAGTTTTCTTTGTCGTTTTCCAGTCTGTTTCCTTTTCCCTCTTTTATCTGACTTTTTGTTTAATAAATCATGGGAATAAGTGCACATTTTTTAACTCCCATGCTTCAATTTATGTTCCGAATGATAGCCCTGTCCTTGACTTAAGAAATGTTGTCAACCAACAATAATGCGATTAGGTTGAATAATCGATTAGTTTATATGTCCATGCTTTTATCTTCAGTAGACTGGACTACTGCAATGGTGTCTTCACAGGTCTCACTAAAAAATCTATTAGGAAGCTGCAGCTAATTCAGAACGCTGCTGCTCGAGTCCTCACTAACACTAAGAAAGTGGATCACATCACTCCTGTTCTGAAGTCTTTACACTGGCTTCCTGTGTGTCAAAGAATAGATTTCAAAATACTGCTGCTGGTTTATAAAGCACTGAATGGTTTAGGCCCAAAATACATTTCTGACCTCCTGCTAAATTATGAACCATCCAGATCTCTCAGGTCTTCAGGGACTGGTCAGCTTTCTGTCCCCAGAGTCAGAACTAAACATGGAGAAGCAGCGTTCAGTTATTATGCTCCAAATATCTGGAACAAACTCCCAGAAACCTGCAGGTCCGCTGCAACTCTTACTACTTTTAAATCCAGGCTGAAGACTTTTCTTTTTGTCGCTGCTTTTAATTGAACTATTCATATCTTAGACTGCACTGTAACTTTTATCCATGTACTTTTTCTTTTAATGTTTAATTGCACTGTAACTTTTATCCATGTATTTTTTCTTTTAATGTTTATTTTATTAGCTTTTCTTTTTAATGACTGATTTTAAATGCCATTTTCTTAATCTCTTTCATTTTTTGTAAAGCACTTTGAATTGCCTTGTGTTGAAAAGTGCTATATAAATAAACTTGCCTTGCCTTGCCTATATAAGGGACGGATCTGTAAAACTAAGTTTCACCATTAAGAATAATTCAAAAGTACCACTATTCGTCTTTACCAGGCAATACGCAATAGGTTATCTTTTTGCTAATCTGCTGCTTTATAAAGTGTTAACGACCTTCTCACCTAACTTGGTGCGAAGGCAGATACGAGTATTTCCCAGGAGGTAGAGCTCTCTGAGACGTCTCAAAAACTAGGAAAGTAAAACCAAAAGTATCTGCTGGAAAAACAATTGTTACCCTTCAAGACACTTTGTGTGTCTGGAGTCACTCATCATGTAGAAACATTCCTTAAGGTCTAGTCTAGTGTGTTACAGACGCCATTACATATTCCACAACCATTTTGCCGCCCACTGGGAAAACACTCACATACATAAACCTACACATCAACACTTTTCCTCCTCTCCTCACACCTCCTGTCAATACCACTTATCACTAGTAATCAATGACTGGACTCATCAATTATGTATCAGCTTCCTGTCTGCTGACATGGCATATA